TCATATAATTGATTTTAAAATTTAAAAATGCCAGAACATAAAAATCTGTGCCATTTAAAAACAGATTTGTAAATTGACTTACAGGTCTGAGGCTAATAGTTGAGAAAATAAAGGCTAGGTAAGGACTTCTGTGGGCACGGTGTATAGGACTGTGATAGCTATGAACTTGATTTAAGTCTTATGAAACATTTGATGTCTTAATTTATAAACCTCAGAAAAATGGAATCTGATGATTTTACACAGAAAAGGTAACCTCGAAGTGACTGAAACTTGACGCTTGAAGGTAACATGCATCCGCCAAGTTTGAAAAAAAAGGGATCATCGCGCTATGAAAATTAGTTTCACACGTAAAATTCAAAATTATTTTGAATACCGAGATTTCCAGTGCCCCGAATGGTTCTGGTTGTTAGTTCATCTGGCAATAGTCTGATAATGACGACAGTTAGGAATCCGCAGGTAAATCAATAGCAAAGAAATTATGTCCTAGAAAATCATAATCTCATCTGTCAACCAAACTAACCTGTCAAAACAAACATTGATCCAGTTAAAAAAAAAAAAAAAAAGAAAAAAAAAAAAGAAAAAGAAAGAAAGAAGACGGAAAAAAAAACTTCGCGCATTTTCCACAAATTATTTTTGACTGCTAAAACCTGGTAACAAAAATAAGAAAAATACATGATTCTAAGATTATTAACACTAAGAAAATATGATATCTTCATATCTCATAAAAATGGTATGAGTTGCGAACCGCTCCTATTTTTCTAACAGTTTCACAATTTGCTTTGAACTATATTTGTTATCTGTCAACAAATAGCAGGATTACCTTTATTTTATCAGCTGCGATTAAAAGAAAATATTATTGTAAGCGGTATGAATGGACCTTATAAGAGATAGACTAATCCAGTAGGCGCGGCGCGCGTCACCGACATGTCCGCAAGAAAGAGTAGGAACGATCTGGTTTACTTTAACACTGAAACCTATGGCGGTTGTATCACATAACTGTTTTTAATTATTAAATGTGATACGTTGTACAGTGATGAGATTATGAAAGTCACAGTTTTTTTTTTCAAATAGAATTTAATATATCTCATTAAAGCACTTTTTACTGCATTTCGCGCATTTTTCTCACGCGTAATTGTACAAACATCTTTACTTTGGTAAACCGGTAAAAACTCTGAGCACAAAATTTATGTAACTTAATTTTGCGTACAAATAAAGTAAAATTAATTAAGATTGATAGAACGTGATGCTTTGAAATAAATAATGTAAAATTAAACAAGATCTGATAATTTTTTTTAAAAAATTTAATGACCATTTTCAGGCAGTGATTTTCAAAACTATATTAACATTACAAAACGATCATTTATTTGACAAATCAGCATTAAATTATTAACATTAAAGTGGAATATTTATTTTAGTAATTTATAAAATTAGGAGCATACAATTTTCTGAGTGTAATGAAGAGAAAAAAAAAAAAAAAAAAAAGATAAAATAAAATCTAGAAACACTCAAATTTTATATTACGCCCAAAAGGAATATTTTTTTAATGTTTTATGTGTTACTTATATTTATTGAGTATCATGTTCTTCGCCCGTAAACCACATACATTTAAAAAAAACATATCTTTAGAATTTCCGCCCTGGAGATAAAAAATGTTATTTTGCGTACAGTGTTACCTTTGCTCGCATTGAACTCGTTGAGTTTGTTAATCAAAAATTCGTTAAAGTTTTACAAAATATGAAATAGATTAAAACAAATTCGAAATTCGGCCCCACAGATGCCCATGTTCGAGTGGAGGATTACATTATCGAAAATTTGATGGCTCTAGATACCGTCGTTTTTGTCACAGTGCGAGAATCATACATGTATTCATGCAGATTCTTCATTATTTAATTTCTTTAAATATAATACAGGCTGATAATATTTGGTAACAACAATTTGCAAGGAGAAACGGACATTTATAATGAAACAGCGCAAAATGCCGCTTCGAATGATAAATTAAATTAACAGTAAATTAAAAAAAAATTTATGCAGAACTAAAAATAAATTTAAAAAATAATCACTATAAAATACAGGCAAAATTAATTATTGCGGTTAAATACAATTTTAATATTAGAATTAAATGTATAAAAATTATTAAGGAGTCAAAAGTGTTTATCGCTATGATGTATTATGAAATAAAATTGAAATAAAATTTCTTTATAGAAATTGTGTTTTAATATTCATCTATAATTTTGAAACAGTAGCACAATTTAGAATTAAAAAAAAAAACTTTCAAAAATTCGTTTTTAAATATTTTAGTATTTTTTACTTATTTACACCAATAAAAGGCATAAAAATTGCAAGAGAAAATTGCTTATTTGAAATTTTCTATTAGTTCAGATTTAAAATACTTATAATATTCACCTATAATTTTAAAAAAGCAGCACAATTTAGAATTTAAAAAAAAAAACTTTAAAAAATTCGTTTTTAAATATTTTAGTATTTTTTATTTATTTACACCATTAAAAAGCATAAAATTTGACAGAGAAAATTGCAGGTTTGAAATTTTCTATTAGTTCAGATTTAAAATACTATAATTTTAAATCTGAACTAATAGAAAATTTTTTAAAAGAAGTAGTTACAAATTTCCTTACAGCATAGGAAAAGCTGAAAAAATATCCAGCCCTGAAAGCATGCAATAGCTCTATAATTATTTGGAAAGCTAATTATGCTTGATAAATATGCTAAATATTTAAAAAATCAATCTCAGTTTCAAAAAAATAAAATTAAAAATATGGAGAAATTCTAATTTGTGAAATGAGGCGCTACAACCAGCTTTTTCTTGAGAATTATAAACGCTGCAATAGGCAAACACTATTAAATTTCTGCAAGTCGTCCCTACTCCTCCGGATGTGATCAAGGTGACAGCCGGGAACGCATCAGACGAGAAAGAAAACACATTCGGGTTGGTCTATTTCTTATAAGGTCCATGGCGGTATGTGGATGACATCAATATAAATATACGCCTGTCCACAAAATCCTTGTCCGGCCTCTATTTAGGCAACCGCTAGTCGTTGACATAAATTTCCAATGACAAAAATATTTTAAATGACGAAAATATTCATGATCTGGCATTTTAAAATTTAATAAAAATCAGTGGACTTAATATATAAAATAAAACGCAAAGAATCTGACTTCCGTATAACACAAATTTGTCAAGATATTCAATTTTATTTCCAATTTGCTTTGAGCGGTCAGTCAGCAAATATGTCACAATAGTTCGAGGCTCAATTTCCCCCTCAAATTTCATTCTTTCATTTAATTCTATTCTTTTGCGATTTACTAATATGTAATATTTTAATTTTAATTTCCTGATCGGCATTTTATTATTTACCTTTTGCACTGCTAAGTGAGAATTGCTATTAACAATCTCATTCTTCTGTACAAAACTTAAATACACATTGCTGTTACAACCCGAAAAATGCAAAAACTCAGTAAATATTTCCTTCCTCTACGGTTGAATAAATATTTTGTATTTGCTTACTTCACAATCTTCAAAAGAATAAATAGGAGGGCATCAAATGTCAACCGTTAGCAAACAATTCAGGTAAGATCTCTGCTAACAGCGGCTGAGGAACGTTAAATGATCTATTTTGAATACTTCTTTTGTTACACGGACATTGGTAACCTCTAAAACGATGACTAAACTTTCAAAACAATGGGCGATTCAAGTGTACTGATTTCGTGTTATACAAATATTTACAAGCAATTTCATTTGCGTTATTTACGTAAATGCTGATAATGAAATATCCGCAAATATAGAAGCAAAGCAGAAAAGTGCTTTAAGCAATGGATCTCAAAATTAATTTTTTAAAGTAATATTCCGTTTTAAATATAAATACCGCATTCAACCGAAAGTTTAAATTAAATGTTTCCTTTATTTACCTTCCCTACACATTAAGTCCAAGATATTGGGAGGAAGGCAGGACTTTTGCAGATGATATTGACCTTCCGTCTGATTCAAATTACAGTCGTAATGTTTTACTAATTCATATAGTTTGTTATTAGAAAAAGGGAAAATTTAAAACACTGGTAAATTATTCTTATTAATAAACCCTAATTAATTTTTCGAACATATAGGTGACGAAACATAGAGGCCAGATTTTCTCCACCCGATTACTCGAAGAGTATTTTAAAGCTGTCAATGAATACTTGTTAATATTAATGACTTATAAAAAAATTTAAAAACATATTAGCATTTTAAGTATACATTAAGATCACACAAAATTTTATTTAATAATCTCTAGTGGTCCTGCAATAAAATTCTGAAATGTCAGATATAAATGTAATTTCTTCTTAAATTCCGCGTATTAGTAAAAGTAAGTCCATTTGCAAAATTTACAATAACAATTTTGGGAAGAAAGTAACCTAAATTTCGCCAATGATGTTCGTTTCATAACCGAATAGTATTGTGAAAGCATTATGCTAACACGAAAATAGACAGTATTTTCTTCAGCTTGCATAAAGCTAGAGAAGATAAAAAAACTGAAATTTAACTAAATGGATCATTGACATTTGCTTGAACAGGTACAATAATTTCCACAGAGGGAAAGTGAAATATCGTTTCACGTAAAAGAAAACTCTCTCAGAAGGAATTTAAGACCACGACTTGTAATAAGCATGTGACGTACAAAATTTAAATGGAATTCCAATAACAGGGGAAAGTTTAAGAAGTAATATTAATCAGATATTGGATAACTAATTGGATAATTAATTTATCAATTCAAATTAAAGATTTTAGAAAAATGAAACATTAATTAAACTATCTAAAACTCTAAATCAGTTTTCATTAATGATGCATTAAGATCATTTTTAGAACCTGATACTTAAAAGTTCAGTGATTTTCTTAAAGAATAAATAAAATAATCACCGTTAAAATTTTAAAATATAACTTGCGACTGAAAATAGGGCCCTTTCATTAAAATTTTACAAGAAAGATCATTTGATAAAATGTTACTTACCTGAGTCCGTTAACGAAGAACTTCTCCGTAATATAATCTTTGCAGTTGGAATTTTCAAAGGCGAGGTAAAATTTGTAGTCTTTGTCCAGCATTTGAAAGCATTTATGCGTCAGAGTTCGTGGGCATTTCTTATTGCCACAAGATCCATAAATGTCGACTTCTATATGTTGCCCCAATTCCTTTGCATATTCTAGTCTTTTGTTTTTTGCGTTACAGTTCGAAACAAACCATGCCACTTTCTTAGTCTTATTTGCAGCATAATTTCTGTTTTCAATATTAATTTTGTTTCTGTGACCTGGGAAGTAATCTTCACTAACACTATAAGGAACGAATTTCTCATAAGGGGCCACAAGATCAGAATCGTGTCTGTAAGTTGCTGTCCAGTTGAAAACATTCTTGAGGTTCTTAAAGGCTTGGGTATGCAAAGGGCATTCTAAGAGGAATAATATCCACACTTGATTAGGCTTCCGTTTATAAAACGGCCACAAGAAACGGTCTTTAAAGAAAAGAGCATCAGCATGTTCAGCATCTTTGAGAACTGTCGTCAGTTCGCAGGTACTGACTGGACACTTATCCCTGAGAAAAACTATCCTGCCCAGAGGCAAATCATTCCAACCTCCTTTTCCGAAATATAGCAATATCTTCTTCAGCTTTTCTTTCTGACCGGCAGTAGATGAAGTCATCTTGGATGAAGATGAGGAAAAGTCCCAGCTTGACGTATAATTCGGTGGGACATACATGAGCTGCTCTACAATTCGATCACGAGTATCCTGTTCTGGCCATAAGGGAGGTTTAAATCCAGGCGGGGTTGGATGTGGCCTGACACCTCCTCCTCCTTTCATAAACCACAATTTCAAGATGTTAGAATCCTGGTTAGCGGAAACCTGCGATGGTCCAGCCATCATGTTTACCTTTCGCTCCATCTGATGATGATTGGGTGAATCTAAAGCTCTGAACGTGTATTTTTTTATTTCTTGTACTTGGGTCCTCTTTGATATGTCTTGCTCTACGGACTGTGGTGCAGTCAAAGTTGGAGAGTTTTCGAATTTTGGTCGCCGACGAGCACCTGATTCAGCCATATTAGGTGCAAAATCGCGGTCTCCCGATTTGGCAGCGAATAACACAGCTTGTTGAGAATTTGATGTGAGGTTCAGAATCAAAATCGTAGAGCACACGACAATAAAAAGAGTCAGCAGCAGCCTACGAATCCGCAGGCGTGGCATTTTTAATTATTTAAATGGAATGTCAGATCATAAATAAATATTCATATGCAGGTTCTTATTTACAATTAATTGTAGAAATCCTTGCGTTATAAGCCTGCTTTCATAAGAACCTACAAAGAAATAAAAAAAGTAGCATTTAATATTAAGAATGTTACACTGTGTACAAAACACTTTCATTCCAACTTAATATAAAATTCATAAAATGTGATTTCAGTAATTAATGATTACGAATGCTCTGCTAATTTAGTGTCCATCTGACTGAATAACCTTTTAATAGGTGTTCTATATGAGAACTATGAGTTTCGAAATACTTTTTGGTCTGGTATTTAACCAAGTATCTTTCATTTGACTGGATTATTTAATTCCGGCGAAAGACTTTAGGTTTAAATGTTTATGAGCAGAAATACCTTAATGAAACTATTTCTAAGAGACCTGACTCATATTCTCTTATACGTGAGCAAATCACGAAAATATTGCATAACTCGCGATTAACAGGAGTTATATCAGGGATAACATCCACGATTAATTCAAAATCACAGTGAATACGAGGTCAGCTAAAAAAAAAAATAAGACGAAAAGGTAACAGCCAACTAGTAGGTGTTTAATTATTAATTATTAATAATTAAATTAATTATTAATGATCATAAATTATCTGTATTTTCCCCTAAATCATTTGTAATTTCAAGAAGTTTCATCTAGAATGTAAATACATTTGACTAGCATATTAAATCAGCATTCAATCAATTCATTTTCTGTTTAAATATCATTTTAAACAGAACTCAATTATTTTAACTAAAAAAAATCTGATGTGGGCACCACATGACTTCCTTGTAATTATAAATACTTTTTGCTGCATTTCATTTTAACTTACTTCCCCGAATTTTATTAGTGATATATTTCTCATTCAATCAAATCAGTTCTCACTGTTCGGCAAGAAAATATACATAAAAATTCAAAACATCTTCATTAAAAATTGTAAAATACAGAAAAACATTAAACTCCAAATAGAGTTAAAAACCGTTCAAAAAACAATGTTTACAATTTAAATTAGACGTAAAATTAGTTAAAATTAGGCAGCAAGACAGATTTTTCGGTGTACAAACCGTTTGGCTCCACTCGGTAGAAAGCCAGTGAAGTTGGTGCAGAAAATGACTTAAGTCACTATGCTACTAAGTTTCAAATGTAAACAAATGGCAGTGACAATAGGCTTAGTTTAACTTAAACAACTTTCGAATTGTTGATAATTCTACAACTAGTGCATGCAGATTAACTAAAAGCATGAAAACCTTAACCGGAACGTAAGAATATTATAATTTAATTACTTTTAAAGCAAAGAATGCACAATTTAGCAACATATAAGAATAAAAGCCGGGTAACAGAGTGGGTATATATATATATATATATATATATATAATACTTTTGGTGCTGACGTTTACAACCAAAAAGGAAGGTGCACATCTACATGTTATAGCAGTCCCATATTCAAAATTTCAACATTCTGATTCTGCTCGTTTTTGAGTTATGCGAGATATATACGCATATGTACGTACGCACGTACGTACGTACTGATGTCACAAAAAATCTATTCAGAATCCATTTTAAATTAATTTCACAAGCCGTTTCAGAAAAAAGAGTCCTTTATTCTGACCGTACATATAGATGCAACGCAAAAACATCATTGAATTGCAATACCTGAAACTTTTCGCGATTACAATACTTCCTTTACTTCGTACAAGGAAGTAAAATTCAGTTAGCTGTGCATGTCAAATTACATTACACTATAAATCAATTCCGAAACTCTTGAAAGGAACAGAATATTAATCAAGAATGTCTTCTTGAAAGAATACATTAATTTTTATTACTAATAATTGGAGTGTGGAGTTTAGAGAAGTTTATCAATTAACATTTAGAGTTTAGAGAAGTTTATCAAGTCACTGAAAAGAATGATAAATCTTTCCAATCTTTAAAAAATACGTTTTCTTTGCATTTTATTGAAAATCGAATATAGAATTTTGTTAATAGATTAATTTTACAAACCTGTTTGCATTTTTCGCAATTACAATACTCCCTTTACTTCGGATAAGGGAGTAAAAGGAATTCGAGGGCTCTCCCTAAGAGAAGAGTCATCATCATCGGAGATTTTCTAAGAAAAATTGTTTATAGTCACGTTAAACTTTGAAGAACACAAAAAATTTCCATGCGGGCAAACTTTTAAAAAATTTATTATTTTGTTGTTGAATTGTGAGTTGCGTAAAAGCAAAGAAACGATTCGTAATAAAGCTAAAAAGACAAAAAAAAAGGGGGTTACCCACACGAACCCCGTACGAACGTGAAAGAAGAAAATAACGTAACAATACTAAATTTATGATCTATAATTATTCTAAATGCAAAAAAGAACGGTTTGGTATACAGTTTGCCAATCTAGTTTTTTTGAATAAAACTTTAATTTATTGAAATAGAGTCCTCTTTCCACAAACACAACCTAAAATATATTCCGATTGACGAGAACTCCGGCTCCTTAATGCCAGTCCTGCGCCTTTCATAAAGATGCGGACAGCTGTATAAAGAATCAGCACTTTTCATAAGGGTAGGCAAAGTTCCCATCTTTCATAAAGGAGCCGAAGATTTATTTCATCCCCTCGCGTAATTAATCAGTCAGTAAGTGAAACTTAAATCGGACCTGTATAAGGATGCGCGTACATTTAGGAAAGTGGCATGATTGGTATAAGGATGCGGAAGGTCAGTTTCAAGCGGGGAACTGAACTTCAACTTGTGCACATTCCCCAATGCCAAGGCGCCGTTATGAAGATCTCTGCCTTTTCAAACAGCGGTCAACTTCCATAGGATGTCCCTATAAGGGACGCAGCCTAGGTATATTTGAAATTCCCTAGTATTTTTTTAATGTTTATTGAAGAATAGTTTCACAGCAAGCAAATTTAAAACACTGATAATAAGCTAAACTTATTGAGCAAGCATTAAACCATGTCGAAGAACATTCATTCATAGCAGATTCATATTTTCCTTAACCATTCGAAAATAAACTGAATAAGAGCTTTTCAGATAGAGTTTATTATCTATATTAAAAAATCTGTTCTAGAATTATAATTCCATTTCCCACAGATACCTAAAATACTATCATAATCGTGTTACATTTCGACGAGATCAAAATCAGGAAACCTTAAATTCTTTTTACACGCATTTCGTACCTTCCCGAACTATGACTCAAAAGTAAATTTCCAAGAAACCCTTCAGCCAGCAAATATCCTCCTAATGGAAGTAGGTCGTAGGTAATATTACATAAAGTTAGGAAAAGGAGGAAAAAAACGGGAGTGTGTGTGACACATAGCGACGAGGAGACGGAAAGTTACCGTAAATCTTCCGGTCTTGGCCACCAGAGACTCTAAGTGCATCTTCCTAAAGAGGTTCACGAGCCACGTCGTCATGGTAACGCGGAAATGTTCTTTTAGCGCCCCATCGCTATCGAGACGAGAAAGAAAAAGAGTTCTTGAAGTTTTATTTTTGTCCCCTCCTTTTTCTCAAGGTGTGTGGAAATTCGTTACGTAAAAATAAAAATAGGGTTGTAATAGTTAATGTCTGAGGTAAGAAATGTAATAGGTGAAGATACGCTAGGATATCACACTATATTTGTATAAAATGCGAGTTGGAAACCGATAAAACAGGCATATGGATATAGAAGAACTTTTATTCTTTCGTCCGCAGTGCATAGAATCTATAAAAAGAAATATAGTGATGCCTCAACTTACGAACCGCTAAATATGCGAACTTTTCGAGATAAGAACTTTTCTTGCATCCCATATTGGCCTCAGGATACGAATGTATACCGCTGATACGAACTTTTCATGTCCCATTCTGGCGCTAGATTAATAATTATTCTCCAGATACGAATCAATACAAAATTCTACTATTACAATACGTACTTTTTAATATCACAATATGGATTTGTAATATATTTTTATAAGTTCCTTAAATAAGTACGTATCTCATTTATTTTTTGAAAATATATACATATTTGATAACGATTACTCTTTCTTGATATTATTTAAGTATCTCCTTAATAGAGGCTAATTAAATGCTCTATAATCTAACATAGACTAGATAATACTATATTAAATAATTAAATACGAGTTAATCCAGTGTTTATATAGATCTAGGATTTATCTAGTGTTTAATTAATACTCATGATACTAATTAGCATTTAGCTAGTTAATATTACCTAGTATTCCTTACCATCAGTTTGATATTAATTCAATCCAAGAAATAATAATAAATACTAGGCCTTCCACAATTATCAATGAAGATATGACAAATTAATTCAATGGAAAAATTAATGGAAACAGATCGGTGAAAGCAAGATCAGATCACCCGAATATGAAATAAATTCGAAGACTGGGAAATGAAATCCCAGTTCAATATTTATCATAAATAGATCCATGGTCAATCACCACAAGTACTAGTAACTAATGAAAACTAGTAGCGAGTTAGTAACTAGTAATTAACTAGTAACTAAATAACTAGTAGCTAGTTACTAGTGCGATGAATGTAATTTGCAGTGCGTGTTTTATTCATATTTTATGTTATAAATAAAACTAAATTTCTACTTAAATGCACAGTGTGCTTATTTTTTCCCATCTAAATATTCTAATGAATTACTAGATTATCCATGAAATAAAACATAAAATAGAGATTTGGCATTTTTCATAAGTATACATTAACCTTTTTTCAAGTCCGATTTTTGTTTCAACTATCGATTAATTAATTAATGAGGGGTGAAATAACTATTAATGAAAAACGTGGACTTTACATAAGGGTGAACCTTGAGGGCTATTTGCCTAAGGGGAGAGATGCCTTCGTGGAAAACTTTATAAGGGAAACCATGTAACACCCACAGCTGTATCAAGTAGTCATTTCATGTATCCACGTACATTCTTGTTAACCTGTTGTTGTAAATATTTTTTCTTTGTTATGTAATGCTTAAACATTTGTACTGATTCAACTTTACATCTGTACTTGTAGTCGTCACAACCTAGCCTTATTATATTTGTATGCCCAACTAACAATGAAATACTGCAATAGCTATATTCCC